ACTTATTCTTCTTCTTCTTCTTCTTCTTCTTCTTCTTCTTCTTCTTCTTCTTCTTCTTCTTCTTCTTTAAAAGCAGTCTTTTGAAAGTACTGTTGTTATTTTTAAGTGTCTCCTAGCCCCCTCCTCTCCCTCAGTGGTGCCCCTACTGCTTCTGTCACAGCTGTTCAACAATCTAAAGTCGCATCAGTGCGCCTGTCTGACAGGGGAAGGCTCTTGACTCAAAGCTTTCAAGGCACTTTACCAGAATTAATTAATCCTGGCAAAAACATGTGCCAAGTAGATAATAATTATCCTAACCTCTTTGTAGACTGGGGGGGGGGGGAACAAACCAACCCCAAACTGTGAGACTCGGTGGTTTGCCCAAGGCAAATACAGGAAACAGGAGGCAACGAAATAGAACAGAATTAATGAATGCTGACTCCCAGCTCCGAGTGCTGAGTCTGGGGCAAAAGGCCCCCTCGAGCAGAATTGGGCAACCTCATGGGTGCCACGGTGCCCCCGAAACCTTTCCACTTCAGAAGCTAAGTTTACTGTACTTCAAAGCAAGTTCATAGGTACTTATCTGAGAGCCCACCCATATGGAACCCAGGAAGCGCAGAGGAAGAAAACCCTGAAATTATCTCCTGCTCCGAGCCTTAATACCCCTTTCCTTCATCAGGTATGCACTCATATGCATCAAAGGGGACACAAAATCTTTCATGCTGGTGGGTAAATCTAAGTGAACGATCATTTCCCCCAGGGGCAACATGACCAGTGTCTTCCAAAAAAGCCCCCCCAATTATTCACATTTTCACAAACAACAACAACAAAAACAGGTGTACAGAGTCATTTTACTTACAATAAAACCCATTCAGCATTTTTTCTTTGTCCTGACGAATGAAATTTCCCCCGACTTCTATTAGAACAGGGTCCACCAGCTGTACGTCTTTGCCCCTTTTCTTATTTGGCTGAATTCCTGAGGGCATCACCCTTGATAGCGTTCCTTCCCTCTTTGAGCCAGCTGAGGTCTCATAATCAGCCTGTTTTCAGGATTCCCTTTGTCCGTAGCTCAACCAAGAGATAGAGCCAGACTCTCAGGCTGCGGCTGAGCAACATTGCAAGCCTTTTCCAGGACCAGATTAATAGTGTCACAAGTGGCATGTATTGCATCCATTGTTTTCCTCCCAAGATTTTGGATTCCTTGTTTAAAGGCAAGGACCAGGATAGCAGAGAGAGGCAAGAATGACTCGAGGCGAGCACTAAGGGTTGGATAGAAATGGCAGGAGCCGTAGGAAATATTTATACTCAGCTTCAAGCTATACAGATGGCTCGGACTGGAAACCTTTTGTATTGAAATCTTCTCCCCTTTTTTTGCCTTCTCATCCTTGGCCATCACTGCCTGTTTCTAGGATTCCCACTGAGGCCTTGGTACACGGGCTTGGAACCTAGGGCATGGTTCCCCTTCCTCCATTGAACAGTGGTGGGAAAATGGGCTTAAACCATAGACTTTGGGGTGAATCCTAGAGCATCACAGTAACTCAATGACATCACTTCTGGCTTTGCACAGGAAGTGACGCGTGTTGGCGTGATGCCAAATTGCTTGTCCTTGCCCCTGAATTATCCTGCCACAAAACCAGCAGCGCTCGATTTTTCTGCCGCCGGCATTTCTGTGTGCATAAAGACTCCTGATGCATGCAAGAGTGCTAGGGGCAGAGGGAGTGAACACCCCAGCCAAGGAAAACTCTGCAGTGGCTGGAAAGAAGCGCAAGGGGGAATGGTGTCACAGGATCCAAGCCTCGCGCCTTTTTCAATGAAAAAGTCAAATTCCAAGAAGTTAAATTCTGCCCACTGTACCAGATTCCATGCTTGAGCAGTGTTTACTTGGACTGAAGAAAAAAATACATGGAAATGCCTGGGTTGATGCTCTGATGTTCAGGATTCAAGCCCCGTTGCGTTTTTGCAAGAATCGATTGTTTCCCATGGCAGTTGCAATTTCTCAGCAGGGCCCGGGGCACACCACTTAGGCTGTCTCATCTGTTCCCCTGTCTTTTCGAACTCATCCCACAAGCTTCAGCAGGTGAGAGAATGCAGAAGTTATCATTTGTCAAGTTCTTTGAAGGCGGCATCGAGCAGTATGCAGAGATCACAGCTTGTGATGCCATTCCTTATTATTACCACCATGGGCAAAATATGTTCTGTGTAAGACTGAACTGCAAGCAGAAAAGTTCATATACATTCATTCTCCCCAAGGCCATTCATTCCCATCTGCTTATTTAATAACATGCCCTATCATCTGCCTCCCCAAAACAAGAGATCTATTACCTGGCCAGGGAAGCCAGTAGCAAATCACTGCCTGATAGCTGATCTCAGGGGGGAAAGAGAGAGAGAATCTCAGTAAAATCGACCATTGGTACCCACATTCTTTTCTTCTTTTTTTAATATACATAGAAAAGGACCATGATTTCACATCGTATTACACCGTATACTGCGTAAAAGTACATCCAGAAGAGGAAGGAAACATCGAAAACAGAAGGGTAGTGAGCTAAATTTAGCTTTTTACTTGATTAATAACCAAACTCTCAAATTATGATTAGCAAATGCTCTCAGCTCCTCTCTGTTGGCTGTAGAGATTTATACATTTAGATCGTTGCAATCCAGTACATTGAGTCTGTTTTACCATAAAATATTTATAGTATGTCACTCCCAGAGTCTGTACCATCTGCCACGTTTTAGAGAGCTAGACATTAATTGGAGGGGATTCTTTTCAAAATCAAAATATAACATTTTTTTTAAAAAAAAAAAACACCTGTGGAAGATAGATAGAAATAGCACTTCCATCTACAATCTGTTTCCCGTTCCTTTTTAGAAGGCAGTCGAAACCAGCACTGGATCTAAACGTACAAGGTGAGGGGTTCAGGTTGCCTGATTTCATTGCTAGAAGAACCACGAGTGTGTACGTGTCTGTGTTTTCTCCTCTCCAGCTGCCCCCAAATTGGCTGTAACAATGTTGAAGTCAAGAGATCAGACCTGGTGCCAAATGAAGTCCTTAAGAGAGCAATTGACCGTCAGAGTCAACACAGCCAGTCTACACGGTAGAGGTCTGCTGGCGCTCCGGTGGCTGTTAGGACAAAGAAGATGGGGTGCTAGAAGAGGTCGCCGGCGATAAATTGCTGATTGTTCCGATGGTTGTGTAACAGACTGTTATTTAAAATATTCTCGTTCCAGACAAAGTTGAAGGTCTGACCTGTTAACTCTGAAAACATTTCCATTGCTATTTCGAGACTTCCAGTCCAACTTGCTTTGTTTTGTTTTTAAAATTCCATCCTGTATTTCACATCTTGCACGTTATAAATAAAAGGTGAGGGTTTCCTCCCCCCCCTTTGAAGTTTATTAGCTCCCCCCCCTTCTTTTTTATAACCGCAAACACAACATCTTAAGGAAGATGTTGTAACACCTCTCTTAAGTAACATTACAAATCCAGATTGGTGGGGAAGGCAAAGAAGGAAAGTAGGGCAGAGGGCAGGGGTGGAGAGGGGAGGGGAAGGAAAGTCGCGAACCATTTGGAGGTGATACTTGTCAATAGTTGAACACTTCCACATATTCAGACCGAACAGTCGGATATTTCATTTCTCCTTCTTCCTTGTTTAGGGCAACTCTTTCTTTACCTATGACTTCCAAGCAGTAAGGGCTCACACTGGCCCTGCTGGTGGACCCCCTGATGGCACTTGGGTTTTGGCCACTGTGGTACACAGAGGGTGCGTTCAGACGGGGGCTTTACATCGGTTAGGGTTCCGGTTGCAACCGGTGTACTCACCGGCGTGCACACGACGAACATCTGCCTCCTGTCCCTAACCGGTGTAAAGCCCTTTAAACCGTTGTACTCTGCCACTAGGTCCCCAAGTGGTGGTATCCAGAGTCCAACGGTTGTAAACGGTGCACCCCGGCGTCTGATCGCTCTCCAATGTTGCAGAGACACTTCCGTCGGAAGCCTGAGGCTTCCGGCTTTCCCCCGCCAAGTAAGCGATATGCACTTGGGCGAAGCTTCACCCCAGGCGTTTGTTAAGAAGAAAAAAAAGCCCTTAGTTTAACTTCCCGGAGGAGTCCGGGACTACAGGGAGGCCACGTTGGGCTTTAAACTTTAAAGGTAAGTCCTTACCTTTAAAGTTTAAATGTAATGGGTTTTTTTTGAGCATGTGCGGAAATCGCCATTCTGTCAATGGCTGCCTATGCGCATGCTCAAACTGTGCTTAAAAAAAAAAAACGCCGACACCCGCAGCGTGTGAGCGGGCGTCCACCGGAGGGATCTGGAAGATGGAGGTAAGTGTGATCGCGTTTATGCCGGCAGAAACGCCCCGTCTGAACGCACCCAGAGTGTTGGACTGGATGGGCCATTGGCCTGATCCAACATGGCTTCTCTTCTTATATTGTTATATTCTTATGTATAAATTATTCGCTAAATCTGCCATCTCCATTGGCAGAGGCACATCAAAGCCCCACTGGTCCATTCCAAGAAAGAGGCAGCGAGCTTATGACCTGGGTCAACGTGCTTGGTTTATCAGTTACAAGGCCGGCGTCAGCATACCCGGGGGGGTGGGCAAGCGCCAGGGCCCAGGACCTCTGGTTGGGCTCATTGCTGCTGCCCCTCCCCCCACATACCTCCCCTGCCACCTGCCTGTACCCCTGCTCCCCAACTGCCCAGAGTCATTGAAGAAGGGCATGTGGGTGGTGCACAATGGTGGCACCCCTGGTAGCAGTAGAAGGGTGGTGCAGGCCAGTGAGCATGCATGGTGGGAGGGCTTGCAAAAGGACTCACGTGCAGGTGGGAAGGCATGCAGGTGTGGGGGTCAAAAGGAGGTCATGAGCGGTTCCTTGGCACTCTCTGCTCAGCCCCCCCCCAAACCTAAAACCAGCCCTGATTGGTACCCTTAAGTTTACAGCAGACCCTTAATGTGGCTGTGCTCCTTTCCTGTATCCTTCGTTTGTCCATCAATGAAGAGATGGTCTGTGAGGAGTCACCTCCTTTAAGGTGCATCCTGATAACACGGCTATTTTTGGGGCAGGAACGCACAGGAACGGAGTTCCGGCTGGCTTCAGAGTTGGCCACGTCCACTACAGCCAAAACCTCTGCATGCGTGGCTACAGAGGGGAGACCTGTAGAGCGACCCCCCCCCGGCAACTCCGAGGCAGGGGGGGCCCTGGAAGGATCGGAGAGGCATTTAAATTCCTCTCCATGTCTTCCCTGGCCTGTCCAAGGGCCAGCTTGCCCGGGCTCCCCGCAGCCTTCCCTTCAAGCCAGGGGAAGGCATGGGGATGTGGCCTAATATGCTAATGAGCTGCACTGTCATGGGTGTGGCCTAATATGCTAATGAGTTCCTGCTGGGCTTTTTCTACAAAAACCTGTCCAGGGAGCAGAAGTGGGATCTGGCAGGAGATGGCCAATGGGATGGAGGGAGGGAGCCTGGATCCGGTAGAGGATTCCTACAACCAATCCTCATGTAGCTGGCTGCTTTTTGTTTTCACTTTCAGCCTGGTTGCCACAGGACAAACGGGCTCTGCTGTACCATGAATGGACCCCAATCCTGAGCATTATCCTGAGATGTTTTAATGGGCGCTAAATGTTAGCATGCTGAACTGCAACTTTATACTACTGGAGAGTCCAAACACATATATGCACAATGCAGGGTAGCGGATATCAGGAACATTGGCCCATGTGAGAGGACTGGTCATGAAGGACCTTCAGATGTAAAATCTTGGGGTGGGCCTTGAAGCTGTGTCCGGCTATCTGATGGATCATTTGTTTGATCTGTTTGCAGTCTTGCTTTTGGGGCTTGGACAGAAGTGTTGATTTTGAGTGCATCCTTGGTCTTTCGAGTGAACGATTCAGACTTCTGTGAGCGGACCTCTCTTTTGAGAAGGAATCTTCTGCCCACTTTCTCCTCCTTTCTGTGAATCCCGGCATGTGGGATACACTGCACAGTGGCTGCAGAGGGAAAGTGGAACAGGCAGAAATCTCTTTGCACGGGGGGTGGGGGGGGTGTGGATTCCTGCCAATTTCCCTTTCCCTTTGCAGTCACTTTTAGTGCATCTGACATCATTCCGTGGGGCCCCACAACCTTCTGGGGTGATTTAGAAAGGGCAGGAAGCTTCGGTAAGAAGAGAAAGTGGTCAAATCCCCCTCCTAGAAGAAGAACACCAGCTGTGGAACAACTAATCCAGCCCTACATCCTTGCAAACTGGAAGTCTGTAATCTGGGTCATATTTCTCACATTACTGCCGGTTTAAGGGCTGTCGTTCTTAGGGCAATTATCCACCCAGAGCCCATCTCCTTGATAACTTACACAATAGACCCAGAAACGCAACTCCCCAGGAGGGGGGGGCGATGCATCCTTTAGAGTCTGTTGCAAGGTGCACAACCGACTTAGCTTCTCCGGAACACATGTACAGGAATGTCAGGGTTCTTGGGAAAATGCCAATGGAGCTGAAACGCAACATTTCAAGGAGAAGTACATGGGGGCCGTTGCATCAATCACCTTCTTGCTTTGGATGGAAAGTATTGCTCCATACTAAGTTTTTCTACTTTTCCTTTGTCCCCTCCTTGGATTAAGCAAGCCTCGGAAGCTATGAAGCCTGAAGGACAACCACGGCTTATAAACAAGAGGCGGAAGCACTGGGCTTGGGTGCGAAGAGACTTGGTACTGCTTTCCAGCTGTTCCAGGTTCTGCTGCAGGCCGGCAAACCTTCTGAACCCCCCCCCCCCCCCCAGCCCCCAACCCCCCCTGCCAGCCCAGTCATTTTGGCCTGCCAATAGTACTTGAACACTACCTGAAAGTGGAAAGCCAAGAGGGTTTCCAAACACCCAGCAGATACACAGATGACTGTACACAGATGACTGGACTGTGTTGGGATTTGGTGGATCGAGTCGTTCTGCTGTACAATATTTTGACATTTTCGATGTAAGAAGCTGTTTAAATTGGCTGCTGGCCAGTGTTCCTGTTCTCTTCTGATTCCAAGCCAAGAGAGTGATCGTTTCAAGCCTCCCAACCAAGGCTCCCTCTAAGCTATGGAGTCCTGTGAGCAAAAATTCTACTTTGTGAGCTACTGGCATTAAAGTTGTGAGCCAGCGATTTGGCTACTGCATTAGGTTGCTCTGGAGCCCTCCTTCCTGTGCTAAGACAAAACGTGTGAGCCAGAGGCTAAAAACTATGAGCTGCCTCACACTAACTCAGCTTATAAGGAACACTGCTCCCAACTCACAAAAGCCCATCTCAGGTGGATGAAGCCAGCAGACATCCAGAGGATTCTGGCATGGTGAAAGCGTCTTGCTAATGTTGGGACAGATGTCCAGAGAGTGGCTGGTCGCAACACCACTTTGCCTCTGAACCCAAACTCTGAAAATACCGAAACCTTCCATAGCAAACAGTTCCAAAAGAAACAGTGTATGCCCTCTGGTTCAGTGTCCAAGTATGGCATCTGGTATATCTTTGTTTCCTACAAATTTCAGATTTGTTTTCTTCTTTTAAAAAAAGGCTATAGCCCTCATGATTGTAAAGAATGGCTTGGGGCATATACAAGTGCTATGTATTGAGGGCTGGTACATGTGACACAGCTCTCTGGGGGCTGTACTAATTCAGACTACAGATGGGGGAACCATATAGTTGGACTGACAACCCCTATTTTAAAAGCTCCCTGCCCATGGAAAGCTACGGTATCAGGGAGAAATGTGTAACTTGTAACTCACCCAAGGGCACACCAGCAGCTCCCTGACATTCTCCCTGACATGCTGGCTTTCCCCAAGGAAGTGATTCCCCCCCCCCACAGGAGAGTATTCAATCAACCAGTCTCTTGTTGTCATTCTGAAGTGGTACAGTCCTAACAGAGCTGTGACATGCATGTTTTCTGAACATGTTGATCAGTCCTTGGAAGCAAAGACAAGGTTGGTAGGATTTCTAGTGCTAAGGAGTCAGATCTTCAGAACCACATGCAAGGGGTTAAGAATATAAGAGGAGCGATGTTGGATCAGGCCAGTGGCCCATCCAGTCCAACACTTTTTGTCACACAGTGGCCAAAAACCAGGTGCTATCAGGAGGTTCACCAGCGGGACCAGAACTCAAGAAGCCCTCCCACTGTTAGCCCCCAAGCACCAAGAACACAGAGCATCACTGCCCCAGACAGAGTGTTCTTATCTGTACCTTGTGGGTAATAGCCACTGATGGACCTCTGCTCTGTATGTTTATCTAATTCCCTCTTGAAGCTGTCCATGCTTGTAGATGCCATCACTGCCTGTGGCAGGCAATGCCACATGTTAATTACTCTATGGGTGAAGAAGTGTCCTGTCCAGTGCTAGCTGTGCTAAGCCAGAACTTTCTAGGTGTG